AGAGGATTATTGCTCTTATGATCTTATTTTCTTCATTTTATATAACTCAAGTATCCAAAATTATTCTTAGTAGTTTTAGAAATTTAATATTAGCAATTTATTTTGAGATTAATATACATTGGTTAATTCAAGATATGTATAATTTAACAGCTACAATCAATAACATCAGACATTTTGAATATTAAATGGCAATATATTAAGAGTAATTTGAGACTCAATATAGGATAAATGAGAAAAAGCTCATTTTTGCATAATTTAATTATAAACATTTATTCTAGTTACAACTTTGTTTAAAATAGTCATATTTTACATCTTCAATAAATAACTTGACATTTTATATTACTGTATTTTTGTGGATTGTCCTGCATGTCAGTCTATCTGGGAAGACCACAAAAATCAGATATTTCTTTATGGTAAAAACTGACATTACCAGTTTACCCCAGGGAATTGCCAGCATGCCAGTTTAAGCAAGGTTATACACCCCTCTCTAAAGGCACATTAAAAAAATCAGTTTTTATTCTAAAACTGTCAAATTGTCAGCATTACATCAAAAACTAAGACTACGAGGGCTGTTCGGAAAGTTCATGGCCTTGCCTATATGTGGCACTGCAATCAATTTAATTTTTGGCGGGAATAATTCAGCCATCTTTGCTAGAGATACGATACCAATTTCCGCTTGATTTGTCATAAAGTTTTGCCATGACAGCTTAGCAGATAGTCAGTGTGCACATGCTTTGTCAAAAATGGAGAAGACAGACTCGTGTGGTCATAAAATACCTGACGAAAAAAGGGTTGACCCCATCTCAAATCAAAGCTGACATGGATGAAGTTTTGGGAGAGTCTGCTCCTTTGTACACCACTGTGAAAAAATGGACAGCCCTTTTTAAATCTGGCAGAGAGCGTGTGGAAGGCGACCCTTGCAGCAGACGGCCGTCAACTGCTGTCACTGAAGAAAATATCAACAAAGTTCACAATTTGGTATTAGCAGATCGCCATTTGAAAACGCGTGAGATAGCTGAGACAACAGGCATCTCTGTTGACCGAGTGCACCACATCCTAACCGAAAATTTGGGTATGACGAAGGTCTCAGCAAGGTGGTGCCGCGTCTGCCGAATGCTGAGCAAAAACGTGTTTGCACTTTGATGTCAAAGGAGTGTTTGGACTTCTACCAGAAAAACCCACAGGATTTCTTGCGTCAGTTTGTGACTACTGACAAAATGTGGTTCCATTACTACTTACTACACTCCTGAAACAAAAGAACAGTCGAAGCAATGGAAACACCACAGTTCGTCACCACCAAAGAAGGCAAAGACAGTTCCATCAGTTGGGAAAGTGATGGCCTCAGTTTTTTGGGATGCTAAAGGCATCATCTTTATTGACTACCTAGAAAGAGGAAAGACCATTAATGCTGTCTATTACTGTGAACTTTTGGAAAAGCTGAAGAAAGAAATCAAAGAAAAGAGGCCACACTTGAAAGAAGAAAAAGGTTCTGTTTTACCACGATAATGCTCCTGCACATTCCGCCAGAATCACTGAACAAAAGATAAACAAACTTCACTTCCAATTAGTTCCACATCCACCGTACTCACCTGATTTGGCCCCCAGTGACTTCTACCTTTTTCCAAACCTAAAAAAATTCTTGGCTGGAAAGAGATTCCACTCAAATGACGAAGTCATCTCTGAAGTGAACGAGTATTTTGCACACTTTGACAAATTGACCTGTTGTGATGGCATAAAAAAGCTAGAACATCGCTGGAATAAGTGCATTGCTAACAAAGGAGACTACATTAAAAAATAAAAAAGTTTTAACATTATTCTGTTTGTTGTTCTATTTGAGGCCGCGAACTTTCCGAACAGCCCTCATATATGTTTAATTTTTTCATATTGTCTTCTTTTTAAGGATGTAAAATACTGGTAGAATGCTGAAAGTGCTTTTTTTAATGTTTATTTTATTGTAATTTGATTCAAAAATGCAAAAATAAACATATTAAATTTTAGAAACTGCTGTAAATTATCTCAACTTACACCTATTAACATCTCCTTTGTGTGAAATTTGGAAGAAAGGTGTTATTTTTAAGGTCAAAATAGATTTGTCACTGCAGCCCACACTGGCTAACAACTACAACAACAACTACTACTACTACTACTGTCAATACGTAGTTACAGTAGAGCAGTGTTTTTCAACCTGTGGGTCGCAACCCCCAGGGGGGGGTTGCAGGTAAAAGAAAAAGACAAGTGTTTGTAGATCCTACACTACAGTAAAAAAATACTACAATCTCAGTGAGAAGGCTGTGCCTGTTTATTTTACAGTACAATTGGTTTTTTGATCGATATTTAGGTCTTAACAGAAAGAAACTTAAGTACGTAGTTTTTAAAATCACTGACATAGTTTTAATATAGCCCTGGGGGGGTCGCCAGAATTTTTTTAACTTATAAAGGGGTCACTTTTTGAAGAAGGTTGAAAAACACTGCAGTAGAGCATCGAGTAGCCGAAACAATTCGAGACTGGGGTTGTTCAGATAATCGATTTTTTGGATAACCAATTATGTATGAAAAAATATATTAACCAATCCCATGTTGAAATTTGTTCAAATCCTGGTGTGTCCTTAAGTACCCTCTCATGGTCGCACCACTGCTGCCAACTAAAACATGCACATCAACAAAAATAATATTGGAGTAGCCCAAGACATAGCCAAATATTGCAGCACCACAGCACTAGCGAAAATTTAAATTTGCCAACTGGGACATTTTCGGTTAACTGATGTTTCAGTTGATCGATGCTCTACTGTAATTCTTTTATTGTCTTCTACACAAAAACTGATTTTAAGTCAGTCAAATTACAATGTTATTATTTTATTGTACTGAGAAGAATGTTTTCTTTAACATTTAATTAACAACTATTTTTTGTTAGATCTGATTAATTTTATTTTTTAGTTATAGTTTAAACCGTTTCTGGCATGCTGATCTCCCCAGTTATATGTGTCATGCTGGTCAATCCATGAAAATACGGTAATATAAGCCTAATAATTATACAGGTAACCTCTGTATAACACGGAAGTTACATTCCAAAAAATTGCCGTGTTAGTCAAATCCATGTTATACGAAACAAAGAACTAGTGCGAAAAGGGGGGTTAGGTTCTAAAAATTAAAAAACATGCTGTTATATCCTTATTTAAATTGGATTTATTATTCATTTTTTTCATAGGTAAAATACTTATTTATTATTTAAGTGAATATTTTACCAGAGGATTATTCATCCTACATGATGATCTCAGCATGAGCATCATCAACTGGTAACAGTTTTTGGGTGCATTCGTTAATAGCGGTCACTCTGCAACGGGAGTGTGCTGCTATTTGTAGGCATTTAGGAACGATGGTGAAAGAAAGATGGTGGCGCCCGCACTATCGATAGTATCATGATGGAGGAATCTATAATTCTAAAATAAGCTTTTAGAGGCAAAAGAAGGGTTTCAATTGTAAAATTTAACCATTAAATGAATTATTTGTTGAAAGAGCATTCAAAGTAGCCACGAAAAAAATTAGAATGTTTGCACGGAGGTATAAAAGAACCACCCTTTATTACATTTCATGTTGTACGAGGGTTTTACCCAATTCCCAAACCGTGTTACAGTGAACCTGTGCTATAAAAGCACCGTGTTATACAAGGATGTTCCAAATCTCAAACTGTGTTAGAGTGAATCTGTGCTATAGAAGTGCCTTGTTATACGAGGGTTACCTGTATATATAATATTTTTCAAATATTTAAGAACTAATTTAATTTGAAAAAGATTTTCTCTAAATTATTTGAGACCATTTAATATTTTATATTAATGAACTAGTATGCAACACAACAAACAATGACTATCCTAAGTATGTATTTGAGAATAATATAGTAAAAATGAAAATCAATTGAAAAACTTTTTGCATACAAATTATAATAATTAAAAATAATTGGCAAATACTAAAAAATCTTAACTTTTTTTTATTATAGTAGAGCATCGATTATCCGAATCAATTGTGGACTGGGGTTGTTCGGAAAATCAATATTTCGGATAACCGATTATGCATGAAAAAATATATTAACTTATCCCATGTTAAAATTTTTCTCCGTTGCGTGTCACTTCACGTTGAATTTTCGTTGATGATAAGCCTAACGTAAACTTTTTAAAATAATAATCGTGACTATTGTATCATTAAAAATTATTTCTTTATTTTGTACAAACAAAATAAATATATTGAAAAATATAAAAACAATAAACAAATTATACTTCAGAAGTTAATTTAGTATCAAAAACGTAAAATATTTGAGTAGCCCAAGATTGCAGTGCCACAGCACTGGCGAAAATTTAAATTTGCCAACTGGAATTCTTTCAGATAATTGACTTTCGGATAATCGACGCTCTACGGATAATGTATTAATATTTTTCTTTAGTGATATCTAAGACAAATAGTCAAAAATGTGGCAAAGAAAGCAGCCACATATTAATATAAGTAATTCATTGAAGATAACCTTAAGTTAATTTTGTTCTCATAATATTCATTTATAATTATTAATACAACAAATCAATAATAATATAATAGCAACATCATAAATTTATAAATTTTCAAAAATACCAAAATTTATAAATCTTAAAAATCAAATTGTTTTTCAGTTATTTGCATCTTACTAAGGATTTTGAAACATTTTAAAAATACTTGATTTTTTTTAGGTCAAGATTAAAACATGAATAAAATTAGCAGATACATTTAAATTGAAAGTATTGAATGAATTATATTTCATTATCATGATTCAAAATTGGTTAAATTATAACCCACAATTAATGCAAAAACAACAATTATAATATTTAACTTTCTTATATTTAGTGGATGCAAAAATTCAATTTAAAAATCAAATAAATAAAAATAAAATACTACACCACATTTAAAAACTTAATATTTAGAGACTGTAAACTTTAAAAATACATTAAATGTAAAATATAAAACTTTTACAAAATTCTTACCTATTCCCATTACACCCAAACCAGTTCCAGCAGCGGCTCCTGCAAAATTTTCTGTGATGGGATTTTGTGCATGAATTTTATCATCAAATTTAACAATAAGCAATGCTGTTAAATATTTTTTATATACTAACTCCTTTATATTAACATTTTTGAAGAATAAATTTTGCAGTTAAATAGTTTTACATTACATGTATTTTTTAATAAAACTGGTAATATATAAAATTTAAATTATTATTATAAAAATTATTTAATTTTAAAATTACTCACTAGAAATGTTAATAGGTTGACCACCAGAGCCTAATCCTTTTCCTATTCCTTGTAATCCAGCTGGAAAAGAATAAATCGTTTATTATTGATAGCAATTATTATAATAATCATCAGAGTTTTACAGTGCTTTAATTTAAGAATAAAACAAAATAACAAAACATTTGTTGTCATACTCCTTCAAAAAATAAGTACAGAGTACAGTTCATAAATTTTAACACTTTCAGGTCTGACTTTTTAGGTATTATGATTCTGTGGAAAGACCTTTGTTGATATTTTTCAAAAACTTGCATGTTTGAAAATGAATAACTATGATTTTTATGACTTAGTCAACATTAAAAACTGTTTTTTCTTTTTGTGCATTTAATCTCACATATAATAAGTAAATATTTATTGATACAGATTTGATTGTTCATAATATAATGTATACAAATGCAAAAACTAAATTTTTTAGCCTTTATTTATAATTGCACCATTTGAAAAATGCACACTCAATTCTGATTGGATAATTGTTTATTTTCATTTTATTTATAGTTTTCAGTCCTTAGACAAAGATATATGATATTACATGCAATGAAATTTTAGCTTTTGTTTTTTTATATGCCAATTCAGTAAATATGCAAATCTGCAGACTATAAAAAGGTGCATTAATCTGAAATTATTTTATGTTTGTATTTATTTACTTATTTGTATTTATATTTTAAAAGAACAAATATTAATTATTTAATAATAGTAATAACTTAAAAAAAAAAGCAGAAACCCTTTGTTGTGAAAAAATTCAATAAGTCTCAAAAGTGCAATATCAATTTCAAATTTTGATCTTAAAATTTTGTCAACAGATAGATACTACTTACAAAAAGATGATTCCAGTGGAAAATACAAGCTGACATGTTTAGATCAAAGATTACAAAAATTACAGGAATGTTTCTGGGTCAGAGGTCATTCCCATATCTTAAGCAGAAAAAGTGTTAAAACAAAAATGACAAAAAAAATAAAATAAATCAAAAACACAACAGAAAGATAATACATTTTTTTTAATTCAAAGCATACCAATTTATAATTCTTTGTATAATGTACCAATGTATTCTTTAGTACAATCGTACAAACGCGTCACAGAGTTGTAGAAAATTCATCTTTTCTGACTGTCTTTAATTCATTGGTCACAGATTTTTAAACGGTGAAAACATGAAAACTGATGTCTTTTAAGCTCCAATTTCAATTTAAAAATAGCCCAAATGGAGAGAAACCTAGTGAATAATGGGTGATAAAGAATGGGTATACTTTTGTATCACAATTTAAACAAAAAATTTTTATATCAAAAACTGATGCACACTCACAACTTTGAATATCAGGTGCATTACTGTGCAAGAAAAAAAATCTCAAAACTGGTATAAGTTTTGAATGGAGGAACAAATATGCTAAATATGTTTCAGGAGACAACTCAGTACTTTATAAAATTCCATATCCATTCCTCTCCCTTTCAATACAAATTTTTTATGAACCACATTTTGTGAATCAAAAATGATTGTCGTCATTATTTTGATGAATAACTTTTGAAATTTTAATTTCTCAGAACAGTTAGAGCCATATTACCATACACCTTCTTTACCAATTTAGAGTTTCTGAAGTAAAACAACTTGCTTTAAAACAAAATTTAATTACAATTCTCTGTTCACTTTTTAAATCCATGATGCAACAACAGAAATGGCCTTTACTGTTGAAGCCTAGACTACAGACAAAATGCATTTGAAGAATGTTTAAATAAATAAGAGATTTATTTATTGTAAATTTTTAAGTCATAATGTTTTATCCTCAAAGTTGGTAAAGATTAAGCATTTTAACTCAAACTTTGTCCTTTAAAAAATATATATATATATCCAGTGATGAAGACNTATACTTTTTTTTTTTTAATATAAAATTACCAACTTCATTGAGAATTTTTATAACATTACTAATTGTTAGCTAATGTTGTGTCTTTGGACAAATGAATTGTTCAAAGCTGGAATTTATCTTAACATTAATCAATATCCTACCTTCCTTAATCTTACAGCAATACTTTTATTAGAAACAAACATTTTCGCCTAGTTTATGGGCCTGCTTCAGATTCTATATTTTCATATTGAACTGTTTGCTGGGCTTTACAACACGAAATACTAAGCAAACCATTCAATTTGAAAATGTAGAACCTGAAGCATGTTCACAAACTAGACCAAAATGTTTGTTTCTAGTAAAGTATTTCTGGAAGACAAAAGGAAAGTGTGATATTAATTAATGCTAGGACAAATTCAAGTTTCTTTGAAGATTGTTGTTTATTGTTTTGTACAACTGGTAATAAATTTGATTTTGAACATAAAAAAGTAAAATTAAATAATTTGTGAAGGAAAACTGAACCCAACCTGTTTAATAGGAATTTGATATAACATGATTAATAAAGATCATTAATTGGTAAGTATTCATTAATAGACATTTTCTTCCTCTTGCATATACAGTGGAACCTCTATTCATCACTAATCTGTTCCTAAGGACCTAACGAATATGGAATATGACAAATATAGAAACAATTTTTCTCATAATAAATAAATAATATTCAATTAATCCGTTCCCATCCTGGAAAAAGGGTGCAAGAATAAAAGTTATGTTGTTTGTAAAACTTTATCTTTACTGTACTAAATAAATACAGTATAGTGATATAGAAGGGGAAGAACAGTATTATTAATATACCGTAGACCCCCCTATAAAACGAGTTCATAAGATACGGATTTGTATATAACAGTGAAAAAACTGCGATCGTATTCGTGTAAACATGCTAAAAGAGACTTGTATGATACGGTAAAACATCATCGCCGACTTGTGTTGTGACAGGATTGGTCAAATCTAGACCAATAGCGGACATTGCACAAACCGTTGAGTTTAAACAAGCAGCAGACCTACTAAAAACCATTTATTATTTAACGGCCATAAAAATTATATTTATATTAATGATGTCTCCAAAGTTCAGCAAATTTTTCGCAAAAAATAATTTATCAGAAAACACGCGCCCATCGTTCGATGCACTGCTCCACGACGAAAACAAGCTTAAGCAATGCCATTGTTGAATGGTGCACACTCAGTAAGTAATCCTACAATTTTTTGTTTATAGTATAGTTTATATGGATTATTCCCAAAAAATTATAAGTGTTTTGGAAATGTTGAGTCAAATTAGTCTAGAATCGATTAATTTTATGGAAGAAAACCTTTCAAACAGCCATAGTCTGTAAACTGCATATGTGCCGGGCTGTGATTGGCTCATGTATTTAAGGACTCATAAAACAAGAATTTCATAAAGCACAGAACGTATCTACCGTGTTATGGGGGGGTCTACTGTAGTATTATTGTTTAGAAGACGACATACCAATTAAAACATTAGACAATTCCAATTATGATCATGGGGTCTGTTTTGCCAATGATTCAGTAGCACTTGATTTAATAAAGAACTTGTCCTGTGTTGTGTGTTTTTGTCTGTTTTTTAAAACTTTTCTGAAGTAAGCAATTACATTATCATTGAATGTATTTGTTATTTGGTTGACTATAGTAACATTTCGGTGCCACTTTGGAGCAATTGGAACTTGGTTTCTTGCATTGATTATTTTTCAATAACTCAACAACACATACGACGACCTACAGCTAGCTGATCAAGCATGAGTATGCAATTGCAGAAAATACTGACAAATATCGAACATTATGAATATAGAGGCTCCACTATACATCAATCACTTTTCATTTCAAGACAACTAGCTGCTGCTGCTGCTGCTGCTGCTAGTAATACAAATGAGTATGATGACAAAACTATCATTCTATTTTCCACAATCAAGAAAGAAATCTTTTCCCCCCTCTCACAAATAAACAAAAATCTTAATAGAAGGAAAAATGCAATCAGTAAATGATTAAAGTTATTTGATCAAATTAAACAATATAAACATTACCAAGAATTCTTGATTTAATTAAAAGAATGCTGCTGCAATTTGAAAAAGATACCAAAGGCATGAGAACAGAGGAAAAAAACAATTGTTGTTCAGTTATAAAAATTCACATAATAAACAACCATTAATGAAGAACTCCAAATTTGGAATTTAATTTTTTGAAGAAGATGACCACGATCTATTCTATAATGTCAAATATCATTTAAAAGATGACACAATGTTATGTAATAATTTTTTTAATCTTATAAGCAAAGCTCCATTACAGAAATTATTATTATTATTATTATTATTATTATTATTATTATTATTTAAAAAATAAAATTCATGAACATCTAACAAAGCCTTCCTGTGTTAGTAAAAAAGTTCCAAATTGATAACTTAACTCTTTGCCCTCAAAAGTACCGATCGATCAGTACCCCCATTGTTAAGCAAAACTTTGAGGAAACCGATTCGTTGTTACCCTAGTAAAAATCTACTTTTTTAAAATTTATTAATAACAGATGTCAGCACTTGATGACACTGTCTTGTCTATCATTTGTTTCACATATTTTTCTCCAGGTGTTTTGTTGACTTAAAAAATTTTAATTAATGGTTTTTCTTCTTAATTTATTTTTTCTGATAATTTTTTATTTCATTTTTAGCACATTCATGCAATAATATTACTATAATAAGTTCATTTATGTTATAATAAGTTTATTTAGCTATAATAAGTCAACATGTTATAAATATTCACGATATGACCTTCAGTTCTGACATATATTTTTTATTTTAATCTAAAATATCAGCAAATTTTACATGTATTACTACTGATAAATCATAATGTTTATTACAAAAAAAATTTATATTCTTGTTTGATATAAAGTGAATAAAGTATATTAGTTCATTATATTAGTTGATAGCATAATAAAGTTTTGATTTCAAACAAATGTTTGATATAATGTGCGTTAATTTCACAACGAATAAACGTACAGTACATGCATAAGTGTTATAAAGAGTTTTACAGAACAATATTCTACATCTTTCTGGCTCATTGCCAGCAAAAACCTAGGTAACCAAACACTGTTAATTTTGACAAAAAGTTACAAATTATCAAGTTTAAATGTCAGTTCTGATATATATTTTTTTCTTATAAATTTTTCTAATAGAAGGTATTGAAAAATATCATATTTAAACTAAAGATAAATGTACAAAATTTTTTTCATATGAATATAATGATAATTTGATTTTTGGTGAATTTTTAAAATAATATCACCTGACTGACCTATATTCCCTTTGGATAGTTTAGAAAATTAACATAAACAAGATGGTAAAGGGTTAAATATCATCAACTGTTAAACTTATTTAGTGATTTGATCATTTTATAAACAAATACTGCCTATTTTCATTCTAGAAGTAAAATATGAATGCTACAATTAAGTAACATTATCTGCTATCATATTTTATAAACAATGAATTATTTTCAGTTTAGAATTTTAAATATTTGTTTCTTTCTTAATTCTGTACTTGTAATAAAATTAATTTAAGAAAAAGAAAAATTTAATCTACCTGGTAATTTAGTAGGAATACCATCACTTTCTTCTTTGTATTTATCCTAAAAAGAATCATTCATANGCTATAATAAGTCAACATGTTATAAATATTCACGATATGACCTTCAGTTCTGACAACATATATTTTTTATTTTAATCTAAAATATCAGCAAATTTTACATGTATTACTACTGATAAATCATAATGTTTATTACAAAAAAAATTTATATTCTTGTTTGATATAAAGTGAATAAAGTATATTAGTTCATTATATTAGTTGATAGCATAATAAAGTTTTGATTTCAAACAAATGTTTGATATAATGTGCGTTAATTTCACAACGAATAAACGTACAGTACATGCATAAGTGTTATAAAGAGTTTTACAGAACAATATTCTACATCTTTCTGGCTCATTGCCAGCAAAAAACTAGGTAACCAAACACTGTTAATTTTGACAAAAAGTTACAAATTATCAAGTTTAAATGTCAGTTCTGATATATATTTTTTTCTTATAAATTTTTCTAATAGAAGGTATTGAAAAATATCATATTTAAACTAAAGATAAATGTACAAAATTTTTTTCATATGAATATAATGATAATTTGATTTTTGGTGAATTTTTAAAATAATATCACCTGACTGACCTATATTCCCTTTGGATAGTTTAGAAAATTAACATAAACAAGATGGTAAAGGGTTAAATATCATCAACTGTTAAACTTATTTAGTGATTTGATCATTTTATAAACAAATACTGCCTATTTTCATTCTAGAAGTAAAATATGAATGCTACAATTAAGTAACATTATCTGCTATCATATTTTATAAACAATGAATTATTTTCAGTTTAGAATTTTAAATATTTGTTTCTTTCTTAATTCTGTACTTGTAATAAAATTAATTTAAGAAAAAGAAAAATTTAATCTACCTGGTAATTTAGTAGGAATACCATCACTTTCTTCTTTGTATTTATCCTAAAAAGAATCATTCATAATTATTAATTTATGATACATAATTAAAATTAAATATTATATCACATTTTGATTATAATTTATTAATACATGATATCTTATACCAGTAATCTAAAAATGTTTATTAAAATTTTGATTTTTTTACTGCAATTATTCTCCAGAAAACAATATTCAAATTATTATAAAAAAATGTAATAAAACAAAAGCAGTTTTCAGGGGCACAAATAATGCAATTTAGTACAGTGAAACCTTGCTTAATGAGAACCTCACATAACAAGCAAAACAAATTGTAAAAATTTGACTTGCTTAATGAGCGACGTATCACATAACGAGTGACAAGGAGAGGAGAAATCCGGATTGTGTGCATGCTCCATCAGTCTGTGTATCCACTAGAATCTTAGTGTTACTCATAATCACACATTTTTCCAAACTTGTGTTCATACATATTACATATTGATATAAACATTGACAATCATAGCCCGTTATATAATAAACACACTGTCTCGTACGAAATTTAATGACCAATTCCAAATTAAATTTTAGAAATGTCTAAATTAAAAATTATTTATTTATAATTATTAAATTTAATACAAGATGGCAGCAAAACTGCCTACCTCTAGTCAAATTAATTAATTTCTAATATTTAATTATAGCCTTTACATGCCAAACAATAGTACAAGAATTTGGCATATTGTTTGGCATCTTCATCAGATATTATCTGTGACTTTTTTGTTTTCTGCAAATCAAATTCGCATTCCAATTCGTTTGTTCATTCCGCGCTAGAAGAAAAGATAAAAATGATTCATGCTCCTTAACAATGTATATAGTGTAATTATCTTTGAATAAATGTTACACATAAAATATTTGAGTATTTTTTCGGCATGGAATGCATTATCGTATTTTACATTAATTTCTATGGGAAAAATTGCTTCTCATTCTCATTACAAGTAAGATTCTGGAATAAATTATGCTCATTAAGCAAGGTTCCACTGTATAAATATTTAACTTTCATTGATAAGCTTACGCAGTTTAACAAGTTATCACCACTTGAAATCTTACAGAAAAGTTTAATGTAATAAAATTAAAAATTGATAGTTTTAACTCCCACAGAACTAAACAATAAATAAAAACTCAAAAAATAACTTCATGTGTTGGTTTAGTTATCATTACACTAAATCAAATGTAAAATGAGGATTATATTGAAAAGGATAATGTAATTCATAAAAATTAATACAAATCAAAATAATTTTTCATTTGTATAAATTTTTAGTTCCATATACAGTAGAACCCCTCTAATCCGTCACCTTTGGGACTGGGGGGTATGGTCGGAACGCAAAAAAGGTCGGATTATCAGAAAAAAGTAAAATAAACAATCTTCCCCTTTGTCCAGTCTTTGTAACACTGCTAATTTTTTATTTAATGAAAGAGTAACGTGTTTACGTTTCACTCCTGACATGTTAAAAACACAGACAAAACTGTACATTTACACACAATGTAAAACATATACTGTAACGAACACAGAAAAATGCCACGGACGGTGAGTCACCGACGAGTCGAGACAAGTTTCTCGACTCCGACCACGGTCGGATTAACCGGAGTGACGGACTAGAGGGGTTCTACTGTAGAATGTTTTTAGGCCTAGTGAAAATTTAATATTAAATTTTAAAAAAGATTCTAATAAATATTAAAATATTTTTAAAATGCCAATTCATTTTATAAACAAACACATTAAATATATTTATATAATTATGATAGCTCTTTCTCACTGGTTTCAAAATATCCTATGCCAAATACTCTGCACATCTCTTGGTTTTCTCCTATCCAATTTGATAATGTATAGAATTATACAAAAAAATGGCAGAAACCTTATTTTCTGAATACACTTTTGTTATAAATCTTTATCAGTTAAATATTTTGCTTCATTCAAAATTATTGCATCCTTATACAAATTTTCACTTTTTTCATTATTCTAAAAAAATTAAAAAGAATAAAATTTATTTATTTATTGTGTCATCAACATCATCACAATGAAAGACTGTAATTTTTAATCATATTTTTATTTAAAAATTAATCAGTCCTCTGGCATCTAAGCTTTCTATATTTGGTCTCAATTTTCATCTAACTCTGTTCTCAAGAAAGTTTAAGGAAGGACAGACAGACAAATGACAATGGAAATTTATAGGTCTACAGGAAATTTATAGGTCTCAATAAATCTAAAAATACATCAGGTTTAGCATTTAATTCAAATGTTCTGCATGATGAGTATCTTATATCATTTATAAATCCTATATTTACAATTCTTCAAATCAAAATCATTATTGTGATAAAGACAAATGATTTAGAAAAGGACAAGCATGATTTTATTTTATTTTGACCACAATTTTAATTATAGTCAGTTTATAGTGCAAATACAGTAAAAAAGGAATCTTTCACAATAATCTCAAAAATCATTATCAAAATATAAAAATCTGTACAGTTTTTCAGTCTTCTTCCCATAATCTATACAGTTAATTATAGCCCCCACACACTTATGCATACTAAAATGCATGTTATGTTGTACTGATATCTTTGATGGAAATCATTAGATAAATAGTAAATGGAAATCTTAATTATCTATTTATTTTTAACTCAAATATTTTAATTTGAGATATAAAAATTTACTTTTGCAAAAATATAAATCTACAGAATTTAAATCAAAGAGAATGTAAGCTAGAATATTCCAAAGTTTTAATAATTACTTTAAAACAAAGTTTTACAAAAAATTTTTTATATATACTAAACTATAATTACTGATGTGCAATTTCATTAATAAAAATGAAACCGTATCATTAATGTATTAAAGGATAAAGTGAAAGATTTACTTACCATACGAACACTCATGGATCGTGTAAATAATTTTTGTCCGTTGAACATAGCTTCCAGAATTAAGAAAAAAAAAATATATTTTTTTATATTTCTTATCAAATTGAATTTATATGTAAATATAGTTTTAAAATGTTTTGGAACAAGAATAACACAAATATCACTATTTTGATTGCCAAAGAAATGTAGATGATTTAGAATTGAATTTATTAAAAATAGAGCCGTTTAACATTTTCAAATAATATATTTAAGTTTTAGAGTAATATTTTCTTCCAATTCAATATTCTAAGTCAGAAGTTCCCAACTTATTTTTATCATGGAATCCTTTTCACCTTAATAAAAAGTGTTGGAACCATGCAGATATCAACAAATTAAAGCATACTAGGCAGCCACTTTACATTAAAAACAAAAATTGAAAATAAAATTACAATTAAAAATAAAATCAAATCAATTGAAAATTAAAACAATGTTTTTAAGAACTGTTTAAAAGTTGAAATTTTCAAATTGTAAATAAAATTTATTTTAAAATTTGTTATTTGTGTGCAGTAGTGAAAGAACATTTTGCTTTTAACATATATATACAGATTTAACAATTGTATTTTTATTTATATGTTGTATCCTTTTAGGTTATGGTTTTTTGAATGATTTTCTAGCTTTAGTTTATGTTTTATGATTTCCATTACTTTGTCAAATCTTATATAATTGATTTCAGTTTGTTCTGTTATTGATAAATTGGTTCCCACTGTTTGTAAAGCTATAAATAACTTTAGCACGTGTATAGTCTCAAATGGAGTCCTTGTATCGTTATACAAGGACTTGATCTGACTACAACAATTACATCTCACATCCCAAATCGGCATTGGCACATTCATACATCACTAGACTCAACAGATTTTATTGTGGAACTCTACGGTTCTACAAAACACAAGTTGGAATCCCCTACTCTAAGCAATCATATAAAGATTGGTGATGTGTTTCTAGAATATTAACAAACTTTATAAGCTTTCTAAACACAAATTTCTGATTTCAAATTACTAATTAAATATTGAATTAAGGATACATATAGCCTGAACTGCTTCAACAGGATGATCAAATTCAACAATTCCATGACCTTTGCTTTTTCCTTCTTTGTCTGTTTTCAATTCTATGCTGATAACTTTACCAGCCATCTTAAAGATATCTTGTAATTTTTTATCTGTGACTTTATAATCAAGCTGAAAAAAATCAATCCATATTTCAATTATTTCTAATAATTTTTTTTTATTTCATCAGTGAAATCTTCATATCTAAAATTAAAAGTAAATATTTGACAAAATTTTTATGCTTACATTTGCTACAAACACTCTGTTTGTCAATGGCCCATTGATACCAAGAGATTCCAAGAAGTGAGGGCTTAAACCATAAGTATTAAACTGAGAATCACCTCCACCCATATTATCTCCTAACGGTGGTATATTGGCATTGAAATCAGGTCCTGCACGATTCATATTCATGGAAGATCTAGTAATGGGTCTGCCAGTTTTGTCTCTTTCAACATCAAAATCCTAAAACAATTTTTAACAGTTTTTCTCTTAATTATAAAAAATAAATATTTTTAAGCATTATCCTATTTCAGCAAATCTACATTTAAAAAATCTAGTTTCACAAATATGTAAAGCACAGGTATCCTCATATAACATAGTAGTTATTTTCCAAAAAGTGACATGTTATGCAAATCAGTGCTATACAAAACAAAAAACTAATGCCAACAATAGGATTATATTCCAGAAGTTAGCAAAAGTATACTATTCTTTTTCATTACTAAGAGAAATATGTTTATTAAGGCAATCAATAATTAACAATCACAATTAATTAAAAGTATTGTATCACACATTAACATTACTTTTAATTAAACAAGGGTGTTTTCTTTTTACAAAGTATCGTCATCATCTCAGCTTTTTTGTTGATCTTGATTAGAAGTATCAGCAACATTTTCATATTTTTTATTTTTATCACAAAAATTTTTTTATGGATGACGAAATAAAAATTTGTTATAATCAAAAATTTGTTCTAGCAGGTCACATTTGTTTAGTCAAGTACCAAGAGACTTTTTCCCAATTTTGTGTTCAGATACCAAATTGAGTACCAAGTACTGCTGTACTTTATCATTTTATAAATGATTGCTTACCTATAGTTCAAAAATGTTTAATAACACATACCTAAAAATGTTTAAATAAACATTACTAAATATGAAGATTAATCTATAAAAAGAAAACACAATGGCAGNTCAATGAAATTATATATATATATATTTTTTTTCATTGTTTGACATATATATATATATGTCAAATAATGAAGTTTACACTTAAAAATTGTGAAATTTTGTATGGAGGATTTCCAAACCATGTTAGAGTGAAACCAGAAATTGTGGATAAGAGTGTAAACAAACTTAGAAAGTTTAATTGATATAACAAAGCAATCCTGGTCTGCACCATTTTTGAATACTGGCATGTGACCTATGTACTACAGTAGATCTTTATATTTATAGTTGTCATATGGCACATGTTTCAATTGTACAGTATCAACAGATTCTGTTTTATGTTTCCACATGTGAGTATCAGATTTAAGTGCCAAATTTTACAATATCATCAACAAAAAAACTGTCACAGAAACTGTTGATATAAACCTTCAAGAAACTGTAAAATTACAGATAAATGATGATAAAGATACAAATATATAAACATCTTTACTAAACTCAAAACATTACAATAAATATACTACAACTGCCATATGAGAATGGGCTAAATAACAGCTAAAATAATTATAAATTACAAACTATGATAATGAAAAATAACTAGTTAATAGAAGAGTCTAAACCTTTAAATCAAAAATAAGTTTTCAGCTATATAAAGGCTTTGAAGGAATTTGGAAAAGCTGAAGGAGATCAGAATTTTTTTCATAAGGCCTCAGACTTAAATTTGTAGTTTCATTAAAAACATCAAAGTTAAGTAAACAAATGACCTTATATTGTTTTATTAAAATGGAAATTTTGTCCAATTATGTAAAATCTTTACAACTTGTGCAAACATTTGTAAAGAAGCAATTTAAATAAAAATGTGCATTAATGAATGGTAAAATTATTATTTTTTTTTTTACCAAATTACATAAAAGAAAGAAAACATTTTTAAGGCATTTGTATTGAAAATAGATAACAACAAAAAATGGTAAGACTATATCTTGTCAATGACAAAAACTTGCAAGACACAGAAAAACAACTAGTCCCATCAAATTCCAGCTTTTACTGTACAAGATTCTCTTCATATACAATTGATATTTTAATGCTTTCAATTTTTCATAAGTACAGTAAAGCGTCATTTATCCAAATCAATTGGGGACTGAGATTGTTCGGATAACTGATTACGTACGAAAAAATATATTAACCTATCCCACGTTGAAATTTTTCTCCATTGCATGTCGCTTCGCATTGAATTTTTGTTGATGTTATGCCTAATGTAAACTTTTTAAAATAATAATGGTGGCTATTGTATCGTTAAAACTTATTTCTTTATTTTTTACAAAATAAATATATTGAAAAATATAAAAACAAAAAAATTATACTTTAGATGTTAATCTAGTATGAAAAACATTCGATTCAGCACAACTCACAATCCTCAGAAAAACACCACACAAAAGTGCCAGTGCTGCATGTAAAACACACATAACAAAAAAAATATTGGAGTAGCCCAAGATATAGCCAAAGATTGCTACGCCACAGCACTAGCGAAAATTTAAATTTGCCAATTGGAATGCTTTCGGTTCACTGACGTTTTGGATAAATGACGCTCTACTGTATTATAAAACAGTAAGTTTATAAACAATAAATAATACTGATATAGTTATTTGAACTTTTTAAATATATATATTTTTTTAATAACTGAATAATTTTTGTAATTTTTCATAACAGACTTTTAACTAGAATTTTAGATATTTATAATTATTAAAAAAATCATCAAATTAGAAGTTTATATGAAGTTGAAAAATATTTTTCTACATTCAAACAAATTCAGTAATAAATTATGTTCTACTTTAATAAAAACTAAATTTTAATTAATTAAAATAACAAATTTCTTAATGAATCATCAAACACCTGATGATGAGAAATAGTTATTAAACAAACATTAACATTTTCGATCCAATATGATAGGCCATCTTCAGATGCAACCAAAATTTGAACATAATTCTCAGCATCAGGTGTTTGATGATTCATTAAGTATTTTAAAGAGTTGAGTATGATATTTAGTTAATAACTAATTTCTTTATAATTTATTTAAAATTTTAAACTTTACCTCTTTAACTACTAAATGTCGTCCTTTGATTTCGTAACGATGTAAAACATCAATAGCTTTCTGAACTGCAGCATTGTCTTTAAATTCTACAATTCTGCAAAAATAAATATTCATACCTAATAAATACTAAATAAAAAAAGCAAATATAATTAACACTGAAAATGTAATATCAGATAATTTATAAAAGCATCTAAAATTTAATATATTACTATACTGTATATGAAAATTCTGCAAGAACATAAAATTAAAACTTTAAATACAGTTAAACCTGTATTTAAAGTTACATTAAAAATACATACAGTCGACCCCCGTTGATAATTCCATTTTATATGAATTCCATGTTGTATGAGTCACTTAGATTTTACAAATATGTGAGCCGTTCACAGCCCGGCACACATATTTGTAAAATCTAAGTGACTCGTACAACATGGAATTCATATAAAACGGAATTATAAACAGTGTTATCGGGGAGTCGACTGTACTTTGAAAGTTTGTAACAAAAACACAATGCATCAACCACTGCTAATATGAAAAGGATGAGGCATTGGTGTGATGTATCATCTTGTCAGCAAATCGACAAGAAGAAAACATACAAATTTAATTCAATACTTTCTGAATTAATTATAATTGTAATTATACATAATAAGCGTCAAAACCAAAATAAGCATATTTTATACAGTATATACTGTAGGCATATACATTATAGTTCTATTAAAAATGCTTACACTCTCTTATCCAGAATTTTTAATATCCGGTACACTTTTGTCCACAATAGTTTGGTTATGAGAGAGTCTACTGTATTATATAAATAAACAAGCTGGAGAAAATTTATACGCTTAATTATATAAAAATACATTTGCTTATATTAATATTTATGATAACTTCAATATGTAAATTTAAAAAATAACAACACGTGTGCGTAGAAAATTTACACTAGAAATTAAATATTGAACCGAGATACCAGTATCAAGATAAGATAATTAAATAAGAAACCAAAGTATCAGTAAAACGCATCATGTATATATGGCCATTAGGAAAAGGGCATGCTCCTGGCAATGGCAATTATGGACATCCACAGAGGGGGCGAACAGAAGATTCGCCCTCCTCTGAGATCGAGTAAAAAGTTCCACAAATTATAATCGTAAAAGTGATTGAGATACATGATGATCAGGCCAAACTATCCAGAGGATTTGCAGCTAAATACTTATTGGACTCTAACAAAGAAATTATTCAATTTTACTAAAGGAAGTAAACGGAAAAAATTGTGTACAACCCCCAATTCCTTGTTGCTCAGGATAATTTGGTTTTTTTGTTTATTTCGCTTATATTGCCATCAAACTTGTATGCACAGTACCAGACAATATACTGTAAATTTTGTAAATTAGTAAAAATCAGCATACATTGTTTTCTTTCACAATAAAGTTTAAGTGTTTTCATTTACATCATGACATTACTGAAGCACGATAAAATACGAAATAAAAACCATCCTGAAGAAAAACCATATTTGATACTTCTTGCATGTAGCAACAAGAATTTAACCTNAATGAAATTATATATATATATATTTTTTTTCATTGTTTGACATATATATATATATGTCAAATAATGAAGTTTACACTTAAAAATTGTGAAATTTTGTATGGAGGATTTCCAAACCATGTTAGAGTGAAACCAGAAATTGTGGATAAGAGTGTAAACAAACTTAGAAAGTTTAATTGATATAACAAAGCAATCCTGGTCTGCACCATTTTTGAATACTGGCATGTGACCTATGTACTACAGTAGATCTTTATATTTATAGTTGTCATATGGCACATGTTTCAATTGTACAGTATCAACAGATTCTGTTTTATGTTTCCACATGTGAGTATCAGATTTAAGTGCCAAATTTTACAATATCATCAACAAAAAAACTGTCACAGAAACTGTTGATATAAACCTTCAAGAAACTGTAAAATTACAGATAAATGATGATAAAGATACAAATATATAAACATCTTTACTAAACTCAAAACATTACAATAAATATACTACAACTGCCATATGAGAATGGGCTAAATAACAGCTAAAATAATTATAAATTACAAACTATGATAATGAAAAATAACTAGTTAATAGAAGAGTCTAAACCTTTAAATCAAAAATAAGTTTTCAGCTATATAAAGGCTTTGAAGGAATTTGGAAAAGCTGAAGGAGATCAGAATTTTTTTCATAAGGCCTCAGACTTAAATTTGTAGTTTCATTAAAAACATCAAAGTTAAGTAAACAAATGACCTTATATTGTTTTATTAAAATGGAAATTTTGTCCAATTATGTAAAATCTTTACAACTTGTGCAAACATTTGTAAAGAAGCAATTTAAATAAAAATGTGCATTAATGAATGGTAAAATTATTATTTTTTTTTTTACCAAATTACATAAAAGAAAGAAAACATTTTTAAGGCATTTGTATTGAAAATAGATAACAACAAAAAATGGTAAGACTATATCTTGTCAATGACAAAAACTTGCAAGACACAGAAAAACAACTAGTCCCATCAAATTCCAGCTTTTGCAGGTTTTACTGTACAAGATTCTCTTCATATACAATTGATATTTTAATGCTTTCAATTTTTCATAAGTACAGTAAAGCGTCATTTATCCGAATCAATTGGGGACTGAGATTGTTCGGATAACTTACTTTTCGGATAACTGATTACGTACGAAAAAATATATTAACCTATCCCACGATGAAATTTTTCTCCATTGCATGTCGCTTCGCATTGAATTTTTGTTGATGTTATGCCTAATGTAAACTTTTTAAAATAATAATGGTGGCTATTGNTACCTGAGAAATTAATTGAAAAGCACAAAAATGATTATAAGATATTTGTTATTAAATAAAAGTAAAAGTTATATTTGAAATATTATAATTTTCAGATATAAAAAACTTTATAAAAACAGTTACAGTAGAATGTCGTTTATCCAAATCAATTGGGGACTGGGGTTATTCAGATAACTTATTTTTTGGATAACCAATTATATACGAAAAAATACATTAGCCTATCCCATGTTGAAATTTTTCTCCATTGCATGTCACTTCGCGTTGAATTTTCATTGATGTTAAGCCAAACGTAAACTTTTTAAAATAATAATGGTGGCTATTGTATCGTTAAAAATTATTTCTTTATTTTTTGCAAACAAAACAAATATATTGAAAAATATAAAAACAAAAAAAATTATAGTTTAGAAGTTATCTAGTNTTTTCTACATTCAAACAAATTCAGTAATAAATTATGTTCTACTTTAATAAAAACTAAATTTTAATTAATTAAAATAACAAATTTCTTAATGAATCATCAAACACCTGATGATGAGAAATAGTTATTAAACAAACATTAACATTTTTGATCCAATATGATAGGCCATCTTCAGATGCAACCAAAATTTGAACATAATTCTCAGCATCAGGTGTTTGATGATTCATTAAGTATTTTAAAGAGTTGAGTATGATATTTAGTTAATAACTAATTTCTTTATAATTTATTTAAAATTTTAAACTTTACCTCTTTAACTACTAAATGTCGTCCTTTGATTTCGTAACGATGTAAAACATCAATAGCTTTCTGAACTGCAGCATTGTCTTTAAATTCTACAATTCTGCAAAAATAAATATTCATACCTAATAAATACTAAGTAAAAAAAGCAAATATAATTAACACTGAAAATGTAATATCAGATAATTTATAAAAGCATCTAAAATTTAATATATTACTATACTGTATATGAAAATTCTGCAAGAACATAAAATTAAAACTTTAAATACAGTTAAACCTGTATTTAAAGTTACATTAAAAATACATACAGTCGACCCCCGTTGATAATTCCATTTTATATGAATTCCATGTTGTATGAGTCACTTAGATTTTACAAATATGTGAGCCGTTCACAGCCCGGCACACATATTTGTAAAATCTAAGTGACTCGTACAACATGGAATTCATATAAAACGAAATTATCAACGGGGGTCGACTGTAATTTCTTTTAAAAAATGACTGACAATTTTTACACATTGGAAGACTATTGTTCCTGTGATTGGACATGGCAAAAAAAAAAAAAAAAAACAGACATTTTGTCTCTTCTACATATTTTTTTAAATGTGTAAAAATCATCAGCCATTTTTTAAAACATTCAACTATTTTATGGTTATTATATGGTCTAAAGTAGTCACAAGTATCTTGCAATTTGGGCCACATGTGGTTCACAAAGCCCTAATATGAAGTCTCTGTGGCTTTGGTAACAACTTTATTTTCCTGTTTTCTATCTTGAGCCCTTATGCAATCCTAGTTAAGCTGATATTCATGATGAAAAACATGTGACTAAATGTGACAAGTGAAAAGATGAGAATGAACTATATATTTATTATTAGTCTGCATATCATTAGGATATAGGCCCATAGTACTAAAAGTTATGAAGCATGAGAGTACTCAGATCTAAAGCCTGCAACTGTAAGAAAAAATTTATGAGACTTGCCAGAAGCCTATGTAATTTCCTTGCAGCCCACATCCAGAAAAGGTTGGTCTAAAAGATTTCAGGAGTTAAGGTTATTCCATAACATATTGTCTTTGCTCAGAGTATCCTGAGCAGATCTGTTATCCTTACCAATCTGGATGTCTGTATTATGATTCATAATTCTACGAGCTATTTTTTCTTTTTTAACTACAATATATTCAATATCTGTGGAATAAGGAGAATATTAGAGTAAGGAAAGGAAAAGTGACTAAGATGTCGTCAATTTTCTTCAAGAGTTTATCGTCAATGAAAATGATCTTTTTTTCATTTCAATTACAAACAACATGGAATATTTTATTTTTATGATAAAATAAAAATCATTATATAAGTACTCACCCACATCCTCTAAATTTTCCGTCATGATCTTCAAAAAGTTCTACATATGATACATCACCAACTATATCAAAGAAATATATATTTTAGAAACTTATAACTATTTTTACTTAATATTCAAAATTATAAATTTAATATTTTACATTCTTTTTATTGTTTATATCATCATCAATTTTCAACATCTTAATTCCATCATAACTTCTCATTTCACAAAGAAATAAAAAAAAACTTTATAAATAGCAGATTAAAAATCTAAACTGAAACTTTCCTACATTTGCCCATGACTGCTAAAATTTGATTTAATATAGATTACAACCTCACTAATCCAAGCTAATTGAGACCCGAACCTGCTCAAATTGGCATTTTGAATCATTCAAAATTATTTTTCCCATGATATTTTTTAAATGTTAATATAGGGTTTGTACTGAAGTTAGATGAGCCTGTTGTCAAAATGACTGACATCAGTCAGTTTTCTGAACTGATAAAACCTGGTTCATGTTTGTGAATGCTTTTAACCACTTTTCAAGAGTAAGTGTATGAATCATACAAGAAGGAGGATACAAGAAAATAGCCTCTGTTTTCTTCTGGTAACAAATTTTTAATCTGCTTTGAAAATTTGTAAACACTATCTATTCTGTACAGCAGAAGGCAAGTGCAATAACCATATATTCTGTTCAGAGAGAATTCAGATTTTTTTTCCTCTATTTAAATTGATCAGAACTTCATATCACTGGCATTTGGATTAGCAAATCAATAATGACCTAAGTCATTTTTCATTTGGAGATATATTTTTTTTAATTTTTATAAACTCAAAAGTCCAATTATATTTTTTGATTATAAGAAAACAAATATATTTACTCTTGCAAAAAAGTTTATTTTTTTAATGTAACTGTAAAATTTTATGAATAATTTGTGAAATAAGTTAAATGTTTTCCCTGTATTGACTTAGACCACTTTCATAATCACCAACACAATTATCAATCTATTATGAATCAGCAATCAGAATTGATAAATCGATTAATCAATAGGTCAGTAAAACTATTATTGGCATATTCCTAATTTTAAATATACCGTGTTTCCCCGAAAATAAGACAGTGTCTTATATTAATTTTTGCTCTGAAAAATGCGCTAGGTCTTATTTTCAGGGAATGTCTTATTTTTTCCAGGAAGAAGAATTCACTTTTATTATTGAACAAAAAAATTCCCAAGTCGAACTTAGACGAGAGTGACGTATATCCGGTGTGTCGAACTGTCGCCTTTTTATAGCGTCAACATC